AAGAACAGAAAAGGGCGGAGTGGGTGGGTTCTTTTGGGCACGGCCGATCGGCTCGTGCCAAAATGGCCACGGATAAATGGCCTCAGGGCAGTTCTTACGATCGCAAAACTGATCCCCCAATTCCAGACCTACCTAGCCGATAATTAGGAGACATATATATATATATATACACACACACACACGCTTAGCAAACATGTACCTATACACATTATGATAATAAAAAAACACATGATGCACTGGCTGTAGCTTTGAATAGTTCGTTCCCGAATCAAGAATGGAGCAGCACTCAAAGACTGGCAATGCCGAAACTCTGCACTGAGATCATGAGAAGGACCTCATGTTCTGTCGAATGTGGACAATCATGTGATGCAGCGCGCACAGAGCACACACACGCGCACGCACGCACGCACAAACTCCAGCTATCTCCAGCTCCAAACAACTCAAGCTCCTTGCCTCCCAACTGGGCTGTGATCTGGGTCCCGGAGCTGAGCCTGAGAGGGGGACTTCTGCCCTTCTCCAGAAGGTTAGATCTCTGTCCGCAGCATCACAGATGGGTACGACTGCCACCGCTGATCCAAGCTCAAAGACTGAAATCCTGCCCTATAACTTGACACGTTGTGCTTGAAGTATAGACCGCGCACCGCTTAATTCTCAACACTCACTCAACCGCGCGGTCTTTGAAGTCTGAATAGTGTTGACAAGTCTGCTCTCAGCGCAACACATGGCTGCGTGCGACCTTCCCCACAAAGCTACTAACACATGTGCAGAGCGAAAGCCGCTCCCACAACCACATCAGGGCATTGATGGGCATTGATCTCCCGTGCCGCGAAGTAGAAAACTGCAACAACCTTCTGAAGCCAAGCCTATCACGAAGCCGTCCAGCTCGACCTGCGCATAAACATGCCAGAGACAAGGCATTGCAAGCCTTGCCTTGCAACAAGACACTGACAAACCCCGCAAGTTCCATGTTGGTTTGCCAGCCTCAACAAGCAACGGCCGTACGCTGCGACTACGTCCGACACTAAACTTCGACCATGGTCTTCGAGCACATTCGGGGCGTGGGCTGGTGACCTTTGCGCCCCGAACCTCCCCCCGCCCCTTCCCCGCCGGAGTTGGAGTCTTCATTTGCCGCCATCTGCACGCATCATGACTGCAAGCCTGTAATCAAGCCAATGACATGCAGGAATCGGATTCCTGACAGTTTCAAACGGTCTCGTAAGACCTCGGAGGCGAGCACTGATCTTCCTCTCGTTCTACACACCGACATGACCTGCGGACATGCCAGCTGGTTCCAAGTAGGATGTTTCTCAGATTTCGCAGATGGGCGATGAGCTTGAACCTTGTGACACACCGCCATCGCTAGCGAAAGCCCTTGCCTGTCTGTAAGTGTGTCAGCCCTCGCTGCTTGTCAGACTCCGCATCTTCGGCACGCGTGGATTGCGAAATCATGTCCGCTGTGCTTCACAACACACCTCGCGGACACTCGGCCTTGCACAGCCGGCACTAACCCCTGCCTCGGCTGACAACACTGCGGTCTCGATCGGAACTGACAAGTCTGCGCTGTGGCAGCAAACCTCAAGCCACTAGCAGATGGTCAGTCAAAAAACTGAACAATGTAGTTGTGTGCAGGACACTGCAAAAACTCTGCATGTATCGCTGATCATGCAATCAAGCCAAGATGTTGCACACTCGTCGTGTCCCTCATAAGCTGAATTCCGGCAGCCTCGATCATATCAGGATGACCACGCCCACATTTGTTGGCCTCCAATAACTAGCAACGTCTTGCGTCTTCTCGACCTAAATGGCAGACTTCTTTGCTTTTATCCTTCTCTTATGTTTGCCGGCTTTCACCTGTCCGAAGGATGCCCGAGCACGGGCAGGCGAAGCGACATGAGCGCTGGTACAGGTTTGCTGGGCTCCATTTTGGAAACCAGGACCCAACCTGCTTTCAATCAGCAGCAAAAGTCGAACACTACTTGTGGCTTTGTCATGGTGTGTTCTTGCAGTGCACGGAATCTGGCTCATATTCGGCTCTCTTGCTGCTTGGAGCTAGTGGGCACATCGGTTACGTTCGTGGGCATGCAGTCGCAGTCACCACCTGCTACTCCCGTCCTTGAAGGTGCATCATATATGATTCATATGATACTAGTCGTACTCTATGACTGTAGTGACAGTTTTGAGTTGTTTGGTTCACCAGGCACTGCACCCTTAAAAAGCCTGAAATTCTGCGGCAAATCTGGCAATCCGGATAGCACTGCATGGAGCTAGGGCGCTGTCCTATCAGCCAGTGGAACACCAGTTTTCTGGTCCTTGCCCAGCCTCCCCGCATGTGGGCCGCAGAGTGCAACCAGAGCTAGTAGCAGTTCAGCTCTTTCGGGCCCTCTGTACATGTGGACCATCCCCTCGGCAGGTCTCTTCGGTGCTAGGCCAGCAAACCTCTTCTTTGCGCTCACACTAGCGAACCTGAGCCGCTGCACACTGAATGCTGACGTTCCATGACCAAGAATGAGAGCATGTAAGAGCCTGATGGGTATCTTTCGACTATGACCATCGGCAGTGGACACCAGCAAGCCGGGGTCATTGCGAGGATGGGCTCGCGCAACCTCGGCTTGGCCGAAACAAGAAGTATGCCAGAAACAAGCAAAAAAAGCCAAGCAGGTGCAAGTCTCGCGACGCCTGCCAGCTGCGCTATCGAGTCTTCAGCGGCTCTACTTCAAAGACCGGAAGCTGCGCGGGTCTGAGCACACGGCACCGCACCGCCGCAGTCTCGCAGCCCTGCCCTTTCGATGCGAAACAAGCAGCTGCGACCCGTGGCCTGCACGAGGGCTCTAGAAAGGATGCTCATCCGGGTAGATTTACATGTTCTCCACATGACATGTGCACGGCTTAGAGCTGGAACTATGCTCGTTAACAGCCCTTACTGCATTTTGCGCAGGACTGTAGCTCGCAAGCCCGAGCGCCCTCCTGCTCCACAGACTTGGTCAGAGTTGCACGTCCCACTCCGGGCTGCTGCCAGTTGTCCCTTGCACAAGCAGCTGGCTTCTTGCATCCTCTTGCTTCTGTGAACACGGAGCATTTGTGAGCCTTTACAAAAGTCCCCTTCTGAAGATGATCTGAGGTTCCCGCGTCTTTTCCAGAAGAAGCTGCGTGCTAGGCTGATGTGCCCAGGTCTGGCCATGCGCTGACAGGAGCTGCGTTCGGGCGGACTCTGGGTGTTGCCTTGGCTGGCCTCCCCCAGAGCAGGAGCCAGCCAGCCCGTCGAACCACCACGGTCGAATCTGCCCGAGGCACCAGCCACATAAAGTCACATCCAACAATTGCCGAGTCGAAGCTCTTTGCACACGATTCACTCGTTGATACTCCGTGCTTTCATTGTTTTATCTTGCAGCCTGCATGCCAACCGCCAACCCATACCATGCATCACAGACCGGCTCTGCACTTTCATGAACGTGCTACAGCACATGTCTTTTTCGCTCTGCGGCACATCGAGAGAGACTGTACCTCCATGATACTTTGATAAGCCTAGCTTGGAAGTGAGGGCTGCCAACCTGACAAGTAGGATCGCCTTGCAAAGCAAACAACTCGAGAGAGCCAAGGTGTGATGGGTCCGGCTCGGCTTGAAACCATCTTCCCGAGTCTCCTCGTCGTCATGTGGTTCGTGACCTCAGATTCCAGTATGTGGAAGAGTTCTAGAAGGCAGTCCGACGGCTGGCTCTCTGAGCGGGCTGACCACGACCACGAGACCATGCTCGGAACCAACGCGGCGGAGGCTGCAAGCGAGATCCGCCAGCACCTGCATTGCAAAGCACACGAACAGACCGAGCTCATCAGTGGATAGATGCACAGACGGCGCAGCTGGCGAGGCAAAAGGCTGAGGCATCATTTTTGAGCGGCTGCTCAACATTGCAGTCGTCGCAGGTGCGATACTTGCCATGGCTGGCAGGGCCGATCAGCAGTCTTCCACTTGCTTCGTCCCCTGCCTTCGCACAAATGGCAAGGGCCTTGGGCAAACTAAGTCCCAGTCCGCTGATCTCTCGCAGTCGACTGACTATATGGGAATGTGCAACGTTGAATGCACCTCGAAAGGTTGGAACCTGCGCTTTGCGCAAGGTGTGGGAATCACCGCTGTCCATGCTCACGCCCGGCCTGGTGAAGCAGCGCACCAGGTCGGGCAAGGGCTACACTTCTGACATATACTCGTAACATCTCGTAACACTCCCTGAAACTGGCCATGATGGCTCGGGCTCGTTCTGAAATGATCGGACATCGGATCTGACTTGCTCGCGGGATCGTAAATTCCGGCAAGCGCCCGTGTTCTTGCAGTCTGCGTTCTCGCGAAAATCTGAACTGTATAGTAGGCTTGCATAGACTTGAGAAATTATCATGGCAAGGAAAGGAGACTGCTTGAAATGTCAGCCTGGTCCAGGCAACGGAAGCTTCAAGGTCAACAATGGGCATGGAAATCTGTGTGCTTTTTTCGTGGCCTTCCAGAAACGAACACTGGCTGGTGAGAACAAAGCCCGAAGCCAGTTCAAGACGTCCACTTATTCAAACGTCAGCTCTTCGTGCGTCCGTCATCGAGAGGCAAAAGATGCCAAGGCAACTACTAACACCGCAATAGCCAGGGCCAGCCCGGCGTCTGTCGGTGATTTCAGACGAGTGAACACCAAAATCAAGTTGCTAAGCCCTCCCTGGCCTGGGCGCAGTGAGAGCACGGAGAGCAGACACACAAGGCATTTGCAGGGCCTTTGCACTCTGCAGGCCTGCAAGCATCTCTTGAAAAACTCTGGAAAATCTGCTCAGGAATAAACACCGGATTAACTCAAGGGATCTTCGTGCCCTTCATCTCTTGCCGGCATCCCGCAAATAAATCCCGCAAGATACACCTCGGGATGAACACTGAATCATGATGGCCAGCAACTGTTGGAGCCGCTGTACATTGAAAGGTCTTCTATCTAGAGACGCTGATGCAAGCGGCAAGTTTTGGCCCCAGCAGTGCAAGCAGCTGGTAGACTACTTGTTCGGGCAGTCGGCAGGTGCAAGGGCAACAGAAATCTGCTGCAGACTCGGCTAGGCCAACCAGCGGACAGCAGTCTAGAATAGAATGCTGGCTGCGAACTCTTCAAAAGCCGACCCTGCCGGGTTGAAAAATGCCAGTGATAAAATCCTCGGGTGGCAGCTCAAACTCGGATACGGTTGACAGTCAGGCTCCGAAGTCAAAAAGACCGTTTTCTACATGCCCATCTTGCGAGGAATTTCGAAACGACATGACTTTGCTTGCCTGATTTGTCCGGAACAAACCCGTGGATGACATTCGGATCTTCCTTCAGACGTAGGAGCTGCCGCCCAAACGTAGCACAAAAAGACCCTCGCAACCCATCAGACTGGAGCTAAGAGGCTACATCGGCTACATCCTAGGATGGTGGCACCGGTTCGCATCGCAAGACCCGAGTGTTTGCGCAGCAGGTTTTGACACTTCTGAGTTTCTAGCTGCGTCTAGCCGAATGTAGCTCCAGAAGCAAGGGCACGTGGTTAAAGTTGAATCAACGCGGCTTTGACATGGAAGGTGTGAAAAACAGATTGACGGAGATGGCTGCATAAAGCACGGTGCGGGTGATGGCCAAGGCTCCGTCCTGGTCACAAGCTTCCTGCAACTTACGTTTCATCTACCGAACATCCTACACATGTTGCAAGCTTAGTCCCGTGCCGACGTGTGACCTCACAGCAACCGGCCATGGCAAATGAAGAGGCTCCGTGGTGCCGAGCTCGGCACCCGTGCTATGCCTTCAAAACCATCTCTGACAGGTCAAAGCGCTTCGCCTTGGCTCAACAAACGATCCTGCCATCTGCTCCGTCGCTTCTCTTTCATCAGGGCCTGTCACACTGTCACACTCCCCACAAGTCAAGCCCCGCCAAGTCAGGTGTTTTGGTTCTGGCTGCGGCTGGAGGAGGAAGACACGAGTTCCGTTTAGTCAGGTCCTCTCCTCCCAGAACCCATCCCGTGGATCGTCCCCAAAGGTCCCCCACGCTTCAGGCACCCATGTTGGAGCTTTATCTGGTGTCGTCAGCACAAGCTGGAACCGTGGACCCAGAACAGCCAGCCGTCGGCTTCGCATATATACTTGTACTGGCATCTCCAGATGCTACTTCGGACGACTTGCGGAAAGCTGAGCCTCTGACCGGATCGAGTTCCAAAAGTGCCTTTGCACAAGCCATCTGACAAGTCGAAAACGGCTTGCAACAGGTGCAGTAAGGCTGCCACGGCTAAAACTGCCTGGAAGCCTGGAGAGAGGATCTGCGAGACCGGGACCTGATAGTATCCACAGAAGTCAGTCAGGTCATCGGGCTGCTTTTTCAACATGCCACTCGGGGCACCGGCCTTCGAGGAGCCCACAGCGATCGAGCGCCTTGCTTTGGGGCGTCTCTGCGATGCCCAAGTCCCGCAGGGCTTGCAGCTCCATTCTCGTCGTTTTTTCTAGCATCTCAAATCGGTTGAAAAACTCGGATGCCAAACCGCAACACGAGCTCCAACAAATGCAAAAAGCACAAGTCGCACAAGCCAAACGATTCTCCAAAAAGCTGTTTCATTAACAAACATTACAACGGGGCTGCCGTAGAAACACTTCTGGCATCCAAACAACCGGTCAAACAGCTGGTTGCACCAATTTCTTTGTTTCATTCCGACCTGGGGTACAGGGGCTGCCGGACCAAAAAACATAAAAGACTGACAAATAATAAACTTACCGGCTCAAAAACATATAAAAGTGTCAAAAACAACCGGGCCGAGTACGGCTCTTCTTTCTTGTTGCAAATGCTGTTGATGACAGCATTTCCAACATTTCTAGAGGCTCACACGCCAGCAATGTTATAAGTTACTGCAGTTTTCTGTTTTGTTCCCAAGCTTCAAGCGCCGTGAATTGCAGCAGTTCCGTAGGGGCAGTTGTAGCAGCTTTAATAGTGGTGGTAGTAGCGATGCAATAATAGCACTGGTATTAATGGCAGCAGCAGTAGTAGTGGTAGTG